GGCCCAAAGTCACCCAGTCAGCTTTCATGCCTAAGGCGGGACTAGAACTCACCGTCTCCTGGTGATTGACCTAAAGTCACCTAATCAGCTTTCATGCCTAAGGCAGGACTAGAACTCACCGTCTCCTGGTGATCGGCCCAAAGTCACCCAGTCAGCTTTCATGCCTAAGGCGGGACTAGAACTCACCGTCTCCTGGAGATCGGCCCAAAGTCCCCCAGTTGGCTTTCGTTCCTAAGGCGGGACTAGAACTCACCGTCTCCTGGGGATCGGCCCAAAGTCACCAAGTCGGCTTTCGTTCCTAAGGCAGGACTAGAACTCACCGTCTCCATTTTCCTAACCTGACATCTTGCGGGTCTCAACTGATCTTGCCCCATCCTGTCCCAGCCACGCCTTTTAGTGTGTGGAGTCATACGCCTGCTTTTCCTTCAGCAGCCGAAGTTGACCACCAGGGATTCTCCCCCAGGGATTTTCCATATTGAGGGAGGATTCGAACCCGGCTCTTTCCTGGTCCAGCACCTTTCCCCCTTTTGGGCAGTCTTTGGCTGCTGGGCCCCGGGAAATCTCCCGTCCTTCAAACTCTCCGATCCCCTTTTGCAAGGCCTCCGTCCGAGACCCGAGACCCTTCCCAGGGATGCTGGGACTTCCGCACCCAGCATCCCCAGCACTTTCGAGGCACGCAAGGCTGGGGAGGGAGGGTTCCAAGCCGCGAAACCTTGACCCGATTTGACCTCTTGCCCCCACCCAGGACATCATCTTGAAACGGGCCGCGGACATCGCCGAAGCCTTGTACAGCGTCCCACGCAACCCGAACCAGCTGACGTCCCTGTCCGGGAACCACGGTCACGCGGGCATGATGGGCGTCAACTCCTTCGGGAGCCAGCTGGCCGTCAACATCAGCGAGTCCACTCAGGGCTCAGAGCAAGGTAGGCCAAGGAAGTCCTCGCTTACCGACCATTCCTCCCACCCACGAGAGTGCTGAATGAAGGAACGTATGGCCTTTGCAATGCCCCTCTCCCCCCCCGCGCGATCCTTTGACCGCCATGATGGCTTCCACAGGGGTAACCAGGATTGCCGTCACTGAGTGAGGCGGTCGCATGGGCGTGCCGCTTAACAACGGCAGTGGCTTAAATTTGGGGCTTTAATTGTGGGCACAAGTCGAGAACTACCTGTCGTCGGATCCACCCCAGCTGATCGTCCTCATCTGGCATTTGGAAGGAGGGGTAGACTGCTCCTAAAGCTGGAGGCTCCATTTGTCAATCCACCCTAAGCCCCAATCCGACCTAGGGTGGGTCAGAGAGTACTAGGTAGTCCTCCAGTCACGACCGCAACGGAGCCCAAAATTGATGTTACTAAGTGAAACATGAGTTTTGCCCCCCATTTTACGACCTTTCCCGCCACAGCTGTGGTTGTTAAGTGAATCTGGATTCCCCACTGCTTGTCAGAAGGTCGCAAAAGGGGGTCACATAACCCCGGGACACTATGACCGTCACAAATACGAGTCAGAGTCCGAATTTCGATCCCCTGACCAGGGGGATGTCCTAAGTCGCTTTCCCCAGCGCCGTCGTGACTTCGAAACGGTCCCTAAATGAACGGTACGGAATTGTGGTCTGATTTGCAGGATACCCGCGCAGTGCAAGCAGCGTCTCGCCCCGGGGCTACGTGCCCAGCTCCACCCCTCAGCAGAGTAACTACACCACAATCACCTCCAGCATGAACGGTTACGCGGGGGCCACCATGACCGGTCTTGGGGTGCCAGGCTCCCCCAGTTTTCTCAACGGCTCCACCGCCAACTCTCCCTATGCCAGTGAGTATCGCGGCGGTCTGACCGAGACCGACAATTGGGCACCGGTTGGATTCCTTGCTTGCGGTGGGTTCACAAAAAGGCTCGTGCGCAACTTTGGGGATGTTTTGTGAGCCGGGGCTATGTAGAATGGAGAAAGACCTCTCTGTGCAGAAGGGCTGTTAGTCTATTCATCTGTTTACTTCCCAGCTTGTTTGTTTGTTTGTTTATTATTTTCACAAATAATTCAAGGTGGGCAAAGGTCTCCAACACGTCTTCCTCCTCCTATTATCCTCACGACAACAGGAACGCAGTGAAGTGAGTCGGGCTGAGAGGGTGTGCTTGGTCCAAAGTCAGCTGGCTTTCAATGGCAAAAGCAGAACTAGAATTCACCGTCTCCCGGTCATTGGCACAAAGTCACCCAGCCAGCTTTCAATGGCAAAGGCAGAACTAGAACTCACCGTCTCCCGGTGATTGGCCCAAAGTCACCCAGCCAGCTTTCATGGCTGAGCAGGGACTAGAACTCACCGTCTCCCGGTGATTGGCCCAAAGTCACCCAGTTGGTTTTCATGGCTGAGCAGGGACTAGAACTCACCGTCTCCTGGTGATTGGCCCAAAGTCTGAGGTAGCACTAGAATTCACCGTGTCCTGTTATTGACTCAAAGTTATCCGGCTGTTTTTCATGGCTAAGGCAGGACTAGAACTCACCATCTGCGGGTGATTGGCCCAAAGTCGCCCAGATGGCTCTCACGGCTAAGGCCAAACTAGAATTCACCAAGAAAGTCCAGTTACCTTTTGGAAAAGCATCTTTGGGGCAACCACGACCTGTCCTGGAGGGCAGAGAATCTCCGTAGACAACTCTAGATTTGGGTCGGTTGCGATGGCCATCACCAACCCATACAAGGGAACCACCTCCTGAATGGACTTGACCTCTTCTGGAGAGACCAAACCTCTGGGGGAGACTTCCTGGTCTGGAAAATCTCTTTCTAGCCCCCAGTCCAACCCCAAAACTGGACACCAGAGAAGACCTTGGTGGAGGAGAAATGGAGGAGGAGGAGGAGGAGAAGGACTGTGGGATTCTTGGTGCTCTCTGAGCTTGGTGGCTTTCTTGCAGGCATTTCATTTCCCAACTGGGTCACATCATCGGTGCTAGAAGGCTGTGGGGTTTGAAGAGAGGAGGAGGAGGAGGAGGAGGAGGAGGAAGAGGAGGAAGTGGAGGAGGAAGGACTGTGGGGTCCTTGGTGCTCTTTGACTGGATGGTTTTCTTGCAGGCGTTTCATGACCCAACTAGTAGCATCATCTGTGCTAGAAGGCACCGATGCAGAGAGGAGGAGGAGGAGGAGGAGAAGGAAGGAAGGAAGGAAGGAAGGAAGGAAGGAAGGAAGGAAGGAAGGACTGTGGGGTCCTTGGTGCTCTCTGAACTTGCATGTTTTCTTGAAGACATTTCATTACCCAACTGGGTCACATCATCAGTGCTAGAAGGGAGGGCAGTTTATGGAGAGGAGGAGGAGGAAGAGGAAGAGGAAGAGGAAGGGCTGTGGGGCCCTTGTTGTTTTCTGAGCTGGGTGGCTTTCTTGCAGGTGTTTCATGACCCAACTAGGTAACATCATCAGTGCTAGAAGGGAGTGGGGTTTGCAAAAGGGGAGGAGGAGGAGGAGGAGGAGGAGGAGGAAGAAGAAAGACTGTGGGGTCCTTGGTGCTCTCTGAACTTGCTTGTTTTCTTGAAGATGTTTCATGACCGAACTAGGTAACATCATCAGTGCTAGAAGACACCGATGCAGAGGAGGGGGAGGCCAGGACTGGAGACCCCCCCTTCTCTGCCCCACTGACCCCTGTCCTTCTCTTTCCCCCCCTCCCTGCAGTCATGCCATCGAGCCCACCCCTGGGGGCCTCCTCCACCCCTGCCGGCGTCTTCTCCTTCTCTCCGGTCAACATGATCTCGGCCGTCAAGCAGAAAAGCGCCTTCGCGCCCGTCGTCCGGCCCCAGGCCTCCCCGCCCCCCACTTGCACCAGCACCAACGGGGCCGGCCTGCAAGGTAAGCTGGCTTGTCTTCAACCAGAGTTACCATCCTGGCCGACCGTCGCAGGCTCCTCGTCTTCCCCTACGCACAGGTAGTCCTCGACTTAACAGGCGCTTCATTTAGCGAACGTTCACAGTTACAACGGCCCTGAAAGGAAAGCGACTGATGACCAGTGGTTTTTTTTTTCACACTTTACGACCGTCGCAGCATTCCCCGGGGTCCCGTGATCAAAATTCGGACGCTTGGCAGCCGACTCGTATTTATGACGGTCGCCGTCTGCCCGGGGAGGGGGGAGTGGTCACGTGATCCCCTTCGGCGGCTTGACAAGCCACATCAACGGGGGAAGACGGATCCACTTAGCGACCGTCTTGCTCACTTAACCAATGCAGCGATTCGCTGAACGGCTGGGGCAAAACGACGGGGCAAAACTCGCTTAAAGGAATGTCTCAGCGACAAAAACGTCAGGCTCCGTTGTGGTCGTAAGTCGAGGACTACCTGTAGAGCCCCCCGGACAGCATTTTTCGATCTCGGCAACGCGAAGACGCCGGCTGGGGAATTCTGGGAGTTGAAGTCCAGCTCTCTTTAGGTGACCAAGGTTGAAAAATGCTGCCAGGACCTTCACTTATTATATTGTGAACCGGAAAAATCATTTTAGGCCAGGGGTAGTCAACCTTGGCTCTTTTATGACTCGTGGACTTCAACTCCCAGAATTCCTGAGCCAGCCTGGCTCAGCTTGGAAACCTCCCCCTTTCCCCTCAGCGTGACTGGCTCAGGAATTCTGGGAGTTGAAGTCCACGAGTCATGAAGCGGCCTAGGCCTAGGCCAGAGATAGGCAACCTTGGCTCTTTTATGACTGGTGGACTTCAACTCCCAGAATTCCTGAGCCAGCCTGGCTTAGCTTGGAAACCTCTCCCTTTCCCCTCAGCGTGGCTGGCTCAGGAATTCTGGGAGTTGAAGTCCACG